ATTTTTAGAAAACCTTTATTTTACTGACAATATGAACAAACAAAACATCGTTGTCATGGCAAACTTAAAACAAATCAACAAACAAAGAAAAAACAAAAAACCTTTCTTTGAACAACATGTTTCTTTACCATTTAAAACGGTTAAACAAAATAAAGTCCAACAAACCCAACTTGTCTGTGATTTGCACTAAGACTGTGAGATCTTATTCTCACTTAGCTCCATCATTGTTCAGTTCTTTGTTCAACTATTTTCTTCAGTCTGAAGCCTTCCTGCATTGTGAGACCTCCTCTGTCATTGCTTCTCATATGAGATCTGGCAGAGCTGGAGAGCTTCTCTTTGTCAGAGAGGTAGTCCTCCACTTTGGCTCCTCCCACATTTTTACTCCTCTTCAGATAGTCCTTTATCTTCTCCATGCTGTAGTCTCCAGAGCTCCTACGGCTGCCATCCCGGTGTTTAGAGGGCTCACTTTCAGTAGCAGCACCCTCCTCCAGACTGGACTCAGAATCCTCTTCCAGACTTGACTCAGAATCCTCTTCCAGACTGGACTCAGAGTCTTCCTCCAGACTGGACTCACACTCTGCTGCTCTTCCACTTTCTTTCGTTGCCCCTTTCTTCGACTGTGAGCTTCCGCTGTCTCCTCTCTGTTTCCTCTTCAGCTGAGGGGCTTTGAGCTGCTCCTCGTCTGCTTCCATGTCCACCTCACCACCTGTCTCCACCTGTCCTCCAGTACTCTCCCTCACCTTCTGGACCTCACTTGCCCCGTCCTTCATTACCTCTTGTCCTACACTTTCCCTCTCTTCTCTCACCTCCTGTACCCCACTTGTCTCCTCCACCCTCACCTCCTGTGCTCCACTTGTTCCCTCCTGTCCGTCCTGCTTGTCCCCTCTGCCCTCCTCAGTACCTTTCTGGTTCTGGTCTTTATTTGAGCCATTTTCCCCAGGACAAGCTCTACTCGGATGTCCTTCTTTTCCACAACTGAAGCATTTAAAATCATTAGTCTTTGCAAAGATGACATAGTCAAAGTCCTCTACTGTGATTTTGAAACTGAGGTTGACCACCCTGCTCCTGTCGTTGGGGATCATGAGGACATGTCTCCTGTGAGACACCACGTGCTTTAACAGCGGAGACTTAAAGCCAGAGGACACTCTCCTAACCGGAGATACTACTTTCCCATGTTTGGACAGCTCTTTGATTATGGCATCGTTTCTTATGAATGGTGGCACGTTAGACACAGTGACTTTCACTTCCAGTGAGCTGAGAGGATACGTGGAAGTGTTCACCCACCTCGATCCTGTGCTGCAACACCACCTCCGCAGTTTCTATGGTATCTAGAAAGATGACCACAGCGCTGTTCATCCACGCTGCGGACTTCACGTGGCTGTGGCCAACAAGCGCACCCACTGCCAAGCTGCATTCCTCCACTGAACACCCGAAACGCGGCGGGATCTTCACGCCGCGTTCCCTGGTTAACTCTGTCAGGCTCATGGTGGCGTTTAGCACGCCGACAGCACGCGCTGCCCGGCTGCAATCCGCTCACAAAAAAAGACCCAAAAAACAGCTAAAAGCACACAAACAAAACCGTGAACCCTACACACCCCACTACACTATCATATACAACATTACCCAGTGAAGAAAAATATCGAAAGATCGCTATTTATCGCTCTCAAACACGCTCCGCCAACTCCGCACTCCTTCCACTCAGAGAGACAGAAAGAGACAGAGAGAGAGATACAGACAGAGACACAGAGAGAGAGAGTAAAGAGACGCCTCTCCTTATTAGGAGTTGTTATACCGTTGATACTGTACTTGTTTACATTTCGCAGATAACAAACCGCATGTCGTGAAAAGAACGGAGGGGGGGGCCAAAAAATGTCCAGTAATGCCAGAGATTTATCGCAGAATATGTGTGTGAAAAAAACATTTGTTCTCACACAAAGATGCTTTTCATATTTTATTGCTTTTTGAAAGAAAGGAAGAAAAAAAGCTCTAAAACTGTCAATGCTGCCTTCAAGATCATGATTCAAAGCCAAAGCTCAGTGTTGGAGTGGCCTCTGACTTGTCCTCTGCGTCTCCAACATGAATGTGTGTGTGTGTGTGTGTGTGTGTGGGTGTGTGTGTGGGTGTATGTGACACATACTCACCCCCTCCACCACTTGGCTGTGTGTGTGTATGTTTGTGGGTAGTGAGTAGGTTGGAAGTGGAAATTTACAGTCTCCCATGTTGGTACCTGAGTTGCCTGTCACAGCGAGGCAGTGCCCAATCTCCACTTTGGATTTAATTGTCTTTAGCCAAAGGGGGCGGGCCAAAGGGGGGGGGGCAAAGGGGGAAGCTCAACTTCTTGTGATCCATGTTGGCATAAAGGCGTTCAGTACAGAGGAATGGTGACAGCTGAGAGAGAGGAACTCTGTACATAGAAGGAAGGCCATGAAGGAAATGTAAGTTTTTCTAAAACTGCTTTGCTGGAAAAGAGATTTGATTTGTATTTTATCATTTTTAAGGTTTTCTGCTTGAATGGATTTAAAATCAGTCAAATGAAAAGAAGTTGTAAAGCTTTGGTGGATATTTGTGTGTTTAAAGGTTAGATAACTAGAGGAAAAACAGAGCTGCAAGTAGATTTTATAGTTGTCTTTTGTGATTCATTCATTCATTTGTGAGAGGATGAATGAGGATTAAGCAGTGTTTGTTTTTTTAAGGGTTAAGGAATTTATGTTGAAGTATGTCTGGTTTAAATCCCAAGGACAGTTTGTCTTAAGTCTTATCTGGCCTCCCTAACACCATGCCGGCAGGTGAAAGCATACGCTAAGCAGACGAGGGGGAAAAGGGGGAGAAAAGAGAGAGAGAGAGAGGGGGGGAGAGAAACAGGATGAGAAGCAGAGTGGGCAAGAACTGATCCAGTTATGTAAGGAGGTCTGAGAATGGAAAGCGGTTCAAGTTGACTTGTCATGCATAACAGGAAGAGAGGGATCCTGGAACATGATGGGACACAGTGTGAACACAGGGGGGTGGAGGGCTTGTGAAGCGTTGATGAAGTGAAGAGACGTGTATAGTTCCCTACAGGAATGTCTCCTATAGGGAGTCAGGACAGAGTCGGGGCATGCCTTGTTTGGAAGCATTTGTTGCACAACTTGTTCTTCGACAAATAAAGCGGTCTAAGTTTATTAATTTATTTCTGTGCCTGCAGCCTTAAAGGTGGAAGTATTTGATGTTGCTCCTCTTAAAAGAAGAGGTAATTCCCCCCCCCTTTCAATTAATCCTGTGTCTTACAATTAATTACAGCTTTCCACATTGTCCTATCTTTGTTGTTCTTTGTTCTTTGCCAGCTGGGAGCTTAAGTCACAGTCTTGGCACGTCTTACACAGTTATTCCAGTCCCTATTAGGGGTTCTTTTCTCCTCTTCGACTCATGCAGTTGGAAATCAGATGCCTCTCTATCAGTATTAACAAATCCTCAGATATCCTCAGATATCATCAGATATCTGTCCACATTGCACTCAAAACAGGCCGGATAGCTATGTTCACGCCACCTGGCCCTGCACACCAGTTAATCACTTTTGGAAAGAAATAACTGAGTCACTGTCTGTCTTCCTGGGCTGCCTCGTCCCATTATCCCCTTCACTGCGCCTACTAGGAGACATCTCAAAACAAATCGCAAATTACTCCTCGTGGCCCTAACTATCGCCAAGAAAACTATCCTCATGAACTGGAAATCAAGAAATAACACACACATCACACACTGGAGAAACTTAATGATAGAGTATATTTCAATGGACAATCTAACCTCGTCCATCACATACAATACAACAGAACACCACTCCACCTGGTCATCCCTCTCTATGTTTCTGCAAACGTGACACCACCCATCCTATTAATATTAAAATTTGTATAGTATATATCTATTTTTTATGTATTTATTACTATTATTGATTTTTGTTTTGGTGTTTTTCTTGCCTGACAACCAATTGAAACCCACGTACATGCATACATGAACATCCATATGCACACATACCTGTTTTTTTTTATTTTTATTATTATTATTATTATTTTTTTCTTCCATCTCAAAAGGCTCAAGGACATTCTCACACACACACACACACACACACACACACACACACACACACACACACACATACACATATACATACACACTGACTATATGATGTTTGCTAGCTTTTATCCCACTGTTCTTGTCATCCTCTTGTTGTTATGTCTATGTATTGTCTAATATTGTCTCTTGTCTTTCAATAAAAAATTATAAAAAAAAAAAAAAAAAAAAAAAAAAAAAAAGTATTAACAAATCCTGTCTTTCTTGGAAAGGCGGTTTACAGTGTCAATACTCAAGTGAACTTAAGCTGCTGTATCATCTTGAGAGCAGCAGCCAGCGGCTCTAAATTTGGACTCCGGGGGGGCGACTCGTTGCTGATTCGGTTGCAAAAGATGAAAGCTTAAAGAGGAAACTGTCCCCCCGGGTCAAGCCAGGCGTTCAAACATTCCCTTCTCTTTTCCTTCATGAACAATGTGACCCCCCCCTCTTCTGTGCCTAAAAAAAAAAATACACCTCGAGAGAGTAACAACTGGAAAGCAGAGAGCTGTAGTCACAATGTGAACGTGTACATGCTGTCGCCAGGGGGGGTTGTCCTGCAGTTTGGGTGACATTTTCTTTTTTTCTTTTCAGGAAATATGGTTATTGATTTTCAAAGGTTTTATTCCACAAGAGTAGAGAATAGGAAACATGTCTTGACAAATGAATGGAAGTCCTCATACCGACCCATTATGGGGTTAAAACTTAACAGAAAAGATACATTCAGGTACTTTCAGGTGACGGAGGGAAGAACACAGGAAGGAGTTTTGATTGGTCAAACAAAGCAAGAGTAAAGTAAAATAATAAAAAAAGAAATAAAAGAGTACAATAAAATAATAACAAAACTTTGGGTAATATTTTAGCTATATCATTTGAAGCTAGCCTATGAAATATAGATAAGAAACTCGGTGGGTATTCCTTGTTCAAAGCTGTGATTTCGCTGTCTGGTTTAAATCAGCTCCCCAAAACATTTCTCTTGTCCGAATGACCTCCGTGCATTAGATGTTCAGATTAACGAGATTAGCAACATAGTTCTGTGCATCGTGTACTCAGCGGTTACACCGCACACAGTAACGCAATCAGGAGAACGCATTATCTCCCTAAAGCTCCGCCCACATCTGTGTCTGATCCCGCCCTATCTGTGTCTGATCCCGCCCACATCGGTCTGATCCCGCCCACATATGTGTCTGATCCCGCCCACATCTGTGTGTCTCTTTGTCTTTGTGTCTCTGCATCTTATTTGTCTTTTTAAAAATAAAAACATATGTTGCCGTCCACAGCATGGCACAAAAAGAGAAGCTCCAATGCTTGAAGGACTTCCACAAGGACACCCTGAAACCTTCACCGGGGAAGAGTCCTGGCACGCGGCCCGAGGATGAGGCCGAAGGCAAGGCTCCTCAGAGGGAGAAGTGGGCCAGCAAGTTCGACTTTGTCCTGTCCGTGGCCGGAGGCTTCGTCGGATTAGGAAATGTCTGGCGGTTCCCTTACCTTTGTTATAAAAATGGCGGAGGTAGGCTTGAAGATACAGGACAGAGTGTAAAGCCAATGAATCGTAAGCTGGTGATTGTTGGAGATGTCTCACTTCCTGCATCTGTCCACCCCCAGGTGCGTTTCTCATCCCTTACTTCATCTTCCTGTTTGGCGGCGGCCTGCCGGTGTTCTTCCTGGAGGTCGCACTGGGCCAGTACACCTCAGAGGGAGGGATCACCTGCTGGGCCAAGATCTGCCCCATCTTCACTGGTCAGTCCAAGCACGCAAACGCTGCACGTATTCACACATACAGAGAAACACAGCTCAAATCATCCCTCACAGGATCATTCAATATTTAACGCTGAGTAAGAGCATCATTTGCCAAAACGAGAATCCCGCCCTGATTTTCTTCCTGTTTCAGTCCAGTTTTCATCTGTATTCAACATGCATTCCCTTCCTATGTAATTGAACCAGTTTTACTTCATTAGGCTGCTTTGTGTTATGTGAAAGACACAGTAAAGAAGGAATATTACGACTCACAATCAGCTTTAAGTATAAGTTTAAATTTGACATGTTCATGGCCAAGCATGTTTGCACACACAGCGACTTTGTCTTTTTGATTGGTGCTTAACAATAAACACAGCGCAGTAGTACAAGACGTAATTACAAATAAAAAAATAGGAACATTTACAATAAAATATGATAAACAAACAACTAAAACAAGACTATGTTAAAATAAGTCTGTTAAGAGTTAAGTGTCTATTTAAAGTGAAGAGTTGTTGATGGATGTGTACATGTAAATGTGTGTAGCTGTCCTGGGGATATAAGAGTCAATAGAGGTAGAAATAATAAAATAACAGTTTGGGACAAAAACAACAAAGCTGGACGAATAAACGTAAAGCACAAACAGGACTGTTGTTTAAAACAAAATGGTGTAAATATAAAGATTATATACATAAAAACACTAGTGACAAACATTCAAATAAGAAATAAACGTATCTATCATGGAGGATGAATGATTTTTACAAACACACACACTTTTACGTAAATCATAAACACCACGCTCCAAAACACAAAGCCATCCTTTTGTGAGTGTAACGAATTGATTGTGTTCTCGGTTACCGTTGAAACAGACCAGCGAAAGAAAGAAAGCCGCCTCGCGATGGGAACAGCAGTGTTTTGTCTCAACTTAAAGGATGTATAAATGCCGTGATTGCGTTGTCAGTGTCAGGTTCTTTTGACCTGAGGTCACCCATAAGCTACTGATACTTTAAGACACTCATAAGTACATTGCGACCGTCCATCTCTTGAGTGACAAGCCGCGAGGCGCCACGAGGCAGCGCGCCTTCAGCTGCCGCCGTCACGCTCTCGCTCGTGTTCACAAACACGACATGAAAAGAGACAAAGCCGTTCCTTTTACCGGATCTCCAGCAGCTGCTGACGGTCTCCGCTATTCAGGGGGCGCTGAGGCCGCAGCACAAGACCAATCACAAACCTCCTCATTGTCGTCCCCCCCCCCCCCCTCCACACACACACACACACACACCCCACCTTCACACACACACACACACACACACCTGTCACAGCATTGACTTGTCCATCAGTTTGCATTTGGTATGTGGGAACGAGGCGGTGGGGGCGTCAGAGATGATGAGTTTAAAAATACTCCCGAGCAGTTGAAGAGTACCAGGGATTTCTGTGTCCAGGTTCGTGGCAAAGTCATCTAAAAATAGTGTTAAAACACTAAGGACATTATAACAGTAGATAGCAGAGTCGAGCTCAGGACGTTGATGAAGAGTTGGCTGTCATTTGTGTTCGTGATGGCTTTTAAAGTTGCTCGGCCATAATCTCCTGTAAAGAGTCATTTACCACCAGGCTGAAAATCTATACCAGGGTCAGTAGTAGGAGTGGTTGTGTGTAGTCAGAAGTACACTTCTTCATCACTGGAGCAAGGCCAACCTCCGGTTCTGAGAAGTGAAGCTTCATGTGTTAAACCTGTATTCTCTCTAATGTCCACCAGGGGGCGACTCCTCTGGTTGTATAGAAGTCTATGAGAAAATGACT